TGCTGCTCTTGGCACCACTTCTCATCGACAGGATGTCAGGGAGGCACTCGCGCTTCAGTCACAGGCCATAGTGACACGCCACGAGGGAGGCCACTCAGTTGTCTCGGAAAGCTACGTGCTGCTCTTGGCACCACTTCTCATCGACAGGATGTCAGGGAGGCACTCGCGCTTCAGTCAGAGGCCATAGTGACACGCCACGAGGGAGGCCACTCAGTTGTCTCTGAAAGCTATGACAATATAGTGCAGAGCCTGGTGTAATAATATTTGTTTTGCTCATCTCGACTGCATGTTTCACCTTCTTCCCCCTCGTTGTGGAAAATTGATACTTTTCTTTCTCTGATCTCCTGGTTTGTAGTTGGACGGCAGAGCTGCCTTCTCCAAACCCTTGATGGCATCAGTTGCCTTTGGGAAGCCTGACAAGTTCATGTTTCTAAACTTGCTGCACACTGAATCCATCCAAATATCCTCAGACCATTGGTCGAATTCAAAATCTTAATACAAAACGTGGTGAATGCAGGTGATGAGTAAGAAAGGAGACTCATAAACAGTTTTCTGTCATTTTACTTCAGTTAAACTCGGTTTCAGAATCAAATGTCACGTCCTTTTGTCTATTTCATGTAGATCAAGAGAGCAAATTAATAACGTATATTTACCATAGTCTCTCACACACACAACCACGCACACACGCATCACTCACTTGAAGACTTTCCTGCCAATCTCAAATGTGTGTTCGTTGACATATTGAATGCCCCTTTGTACTCTAAGGTCCCGGGAAAACTGTGCTACACATATGCTTAGCAGGGGGGTGCTTTTGAAGCCAACATCATCAAAGCTTTTTTTTTTTTTTTTTTTCTCCTTACAGTTTGTAGAAACTGTAACTTTTTTGGATCTATTAAAAATAAAACTATTCTTTTTTGTCTTTTGTAGAAACTACCTCTTCAGGTTACACCTTGAGGATCTGTCTCTTATCCAGGTAGGTGCAATTTATTTTTCTCAAGCTTTCATTCTCTATCCCAATTAGCTCACTGTTTGAGGGGTGAAGACAGATGCATGTCAGGGCATTCATCAGGCCTAGCAGGGCTTCCTTTCCGTGGTGGGTCAGGCTGCAGGACTCTTGGCTGTGGTATTTGAAATGAGTCATCTCCTCCCTCAGTTCCCAATTAGCGTTTTCTTCCTGCTGTGTGGCCCTCTTTGCTTCATGGGTATCATCCTGATTTACTCTTTGTCAGGTGATTGGCAATTCAGGGAACATTCCCTCAAAGTCTGGGAGCATCCCTTTACCCCCAGTTAGAGTGATCATTGACTATTTAGTTTGATGCATTTGGACAGCATATTCTTGCAGAGCATCTTTGTTTCTTCTTTATCGTCTATAATAATAGAAATATGAATGTGTGGATTAGAAGCCACATAGAGGAAATGGTAAGTGATAATATGTAAAAATGCAGTTTTACTTACTCCTGTTACTAGAGCTTGGAAAATGAGCCTGAGATCTTTATGCTTGAGTGGAGTATTTATTTTAGTGGCAAATCTGAATCACAAAAGTCTGCTTTTGTCCTCTAGTCTTTTAGAAGGTCCTGATAATCAGGGTCTCCTTGAGTAGGAAAGAGTTAATGACACAAATATGTCTCTCACAAGATTCTGGAACTCCCTGTGGACCAAGATAGAATCTTTGGGCTGTACTAGTTTGGGAAAAGTTCTTCAACCAATTTTTAGTATCATCCTCATGTACTAGAGCTCTTCGAAGTGACTGGAGAAAAGTTTATGTTATTTCATCCCTGCTGTAATGCTGGTACTTGTGAACATTCAGGAAACTTAAGAGCTAGATTTTAATATTAAATTTATCTTTTATTCACCAGGGTTTTAAAATAAGCCAGTTCCACAATCAAAGCTAATATTGGTAAAAAGCAAGGGCTTTGAAGACTGATGGACCTGGATTTGTGATCTAGCTCTATCATGCCTACTCATTGTTGGTTTCCTGTTCTATAAAATGGCCACAAATCACTACCAAGCTCATACTGTCATGCTGAAAATTAATTATGATATGTAAAAGAGACAACACATAGGAATTGATAATAATAAATAGTAAATTGCTATCATAATAGTTTCATCACAATTGGCAATGAATTGTCTTTCCACTGCAATTTACTGTATAACTGAAGTCTTTAAATGCACTAGTTGGTTGCTAAAGTTATGGATTTATTAATAAGAAATCAGGATGATCAGTGATTTGAGGACATGTGTTATATGAAATAATACAGGCACAGAAAGACAAATGCCACATGATCTCACTCATGTGTGGAATCTAAAAAAGTTAATCTCACAGAATTAAACAGAAGAACAGTGGTTATCATGGGCTTGTGGGATAGGAGACTGGGAAGGTAGTGATGAAAGGATACAAAATTCCAATTAGGAGAATAAAGGCAAGAGATACATTGTACAACATGGTGACTGTGATTAATAACAATGTTTTGTATTCTGTTCTCAGTTCAAATAATAAGTATTTAAGGTAATACATATGTTAATTAGCATAATTTAGCCATTCCCTAGTGTATACATATATCAAAGCATCATGTAGTATACCATAAATATATACAATTTTTATTTTTTAATAGAATAATCAGCAATTTAATAAAATATTATTTTAAATAGTCTTTTACAAAAAATTGATCTTTTAATAGATAGGAACCACATATTATGCTCATTTTGATTTTCATGGTATAATACTCTATCTGGCATGTTGTATGCGTTAACCAGTGGGCTTCATAGAGATGTGTGCACACAAACATGTTTACATAAACACATTCATTTAGGGCCGGCCCGGTGGCGCACTGCTACAGTGCACCTCTTGGGAGCACGGCGGCGCTCCTGCCGAGGGTTCGGATCCCACATGCAGACCGGTTCCCGCTCGCTGGCTGAGCGAGGTACGGACGCGACACCGAGTGTTGCGATCCCGTTGCCGGTCCCGGTCCGGTACGGGCGCGACACTGAGGGTTGCGATCCATTGCCGGACACGAAAAAAGACAAAATAATAATAAAATAAAATAAACACATTCATTTATTTCCTACTTTCCTAGCTCTGCCAGCTGAGCGGGTCTAGAAGCATTGTCATCCCAGTAGCAGTGGGCACACTTAACACACACTAATTGGCTTCTAAATATAATTCTCCACTAAGAGGAACCAGGGTTTATTGGAGAAGTGGCTGATTCAGGGCTGGGAAGGCGGAAATCCCAGATCAGACTGGAGGATCTTGTTGTTTCAGAAATTAAGGAAATATTCAAAGGATGATGAGGATGTGTCCAAAGGACCTAGGAGCCAGCTTGAAGTGGGCTCACTGAAGAAACCTGGGGCAATCTGATTGCCAAAATAAATAACGATTGTAGAGGATTGTCATACATTGAACAAAATAAGAATCCATGAGCCTATACTAACAAAAAATAAATCAATGAATAAACAAATGGGGCAGAAGGGACTGTTCTTTCTTACTGTAAAATGCCAACTAATAAATATTGAAGGAATGATTTAATTAGAAAATTATGATTTGGCAACCATCACATGGAAAATTGATTTAGGCAAAAATGATCAATAAATGCTAAAATTTATGGGTCAGAATTGCGTGACAACTGCGATATTTATATAGTCTTGAAGTATTTATGTGTATAATTCTTATTAATTACAAAAGGAAAACCTGCAACTTGATAGTAAAAAACCTGGCAGATAACAAAGTAGTCAAAGGCAACTTCACTTTTAATGGGACAAAGAGTCCATTGATTTGATGCACTGAGAAGGACACAGCAAGGTTTCCATGACATTCCAGCCCCAAATTATAACCAATCTCATCGTGACCATCGGATAAACCATAACTGAGGGACATTTTACAAAAAACTGGCCTCTACTCTTCAAATATCACAAAGTCATGAAAGGTACAAAAAGAATGAGTTATTCCATCATAAAGGAGAACAAAGGGACATGACAATCAAATGCAAGACTTGGTCCAAAATGAATCTTAGAACAGAAAAATCATTCATCTTGCTATAAATGTCAGTATTGGGGACAACTGGCAAAATTGAACGTCTGTAGGTAAGATAGTAGAAATGTATTAATATTAATTTCTTGATTTTGATGACTAATGTGATTATGTAGTAGAATGTCCTTGTTCTTTGGAAAAACCAACTGAAATATATTGGGGCAAAGGGTATCATTTCTGCAATTTATTCTCCAATGATTTAAAAAATTACTGTATATGTGTATATATGTATGAGAGGTCTTTAAAAAGTTCATGGAAATATTAGTATTACCTTTTAATTCCATTTTTTCATGACCTTTTGAAAGTACCCTTGTATCATATACAGAAGCTACATACATGTGCAGAGAGAAAAAATAATAAAGCAAATATGATAAAATGTTAACAAGGGAAATCTAGGTGAAAGGTTTATGAGAGTTTATTGTGATATTTTTGCAACTTTTCTTGACATTTTATCAAAATAAATACATGCAAAAAACTGGGAGATGTGTTTGCTCTTAACACATGTGTATGATATTGTCCTGAGGTCAAGGAAACAAATTGCATTTTTCCCATCATTGCTTCCTGCTGTCATGACCTGTCTTTGGTGGAAATCAGGTATAGGCTTTTGATGGACTTGAAGTGCTCTTACTGAAGTGTGGAAAGCCCATCAGCATTGTGACCTGATGAGAGCTGAGTCTGCTGTAGTAGGGCAAGCAGGAAGACAGCAACTTTCTTCTGGTGGCTTTGAAAGCACAGCACTGATAACACGTGTCAAACATCACTGTACCACTGGTGCAAAGCAGCGGTGTGTCTCTCCTTTTCGATGCTTCTGGGAGGACATTCTGAAGAATATTGGCTTAAGGCCTTTCCCAGGCCAATCTTTTCACAGCTCCAACCTCTGAGAGGTGAGACAGAGCCCCCAGGTCAGCCTGGGTCCCCTGGGACCCCGTGGGACAGTAGTGTGCTGTGTGACTGCAGCTGGGCTGTCCTTGCCTGTATGTACCAGAAAACACTTCAGTAAAGAAAAGGACAGGAAGGAAGCCCACCACAACTTAAAGCAATATTCTCTCTCAGGGGGAGGGGATGGCTTTACATTAAAAACAAAATCTGTATTTTCTGAATTGCCTACTTTTATAGTAATGATTTAAAAAAATTTTTTTTTTCCTTTTTGTCTTTTTTCTTGACCGGCAACGGATCGCAACCCTCAGTGTCGCGCCCGTACCGGACCGGGACCGGCAACGGGATTGCAGCCCTCGGCGTTGCGCCCGCACCTCGCTCAGCCAGTGAGCGGGAACCGGTCTGTATGTGGGATCTGAACCCTCGGCGGGAGCGCCGCCGCGCTTCCCAAGCGGTGCACTGTAGCAGTGCGCCACCAGGCCAGCCCTGTGTCTCTCCTTTTTTACAACCTGTGGTTGTGTGTGTTTCTGTAGCCTACTGCGGCCTACTGTTTATTTAGCATGGAGAGAGATAAAGCTGGCAATTCTTCCTTACATCTTTTGTTTTTAATTACATGTCTACAGGAAAGAGGTCTCATTGATTTCTATGAATATTTTATTTTAATTTAAATAAATATTTCCCAGGGTAACAGGAATAAGAGCACTGGCAAACAAAGGACTGTGCTGGTGCTATACACAGTGCTGTCCAACAGACGCATAACGGGAGCCACACAGGTCATTTAAGATTATCTGGTAGTCACATGGAAAAAAGTACAGAGAAATGGGGGAAATTATGTTTAATAATACATTTTACTTACCTTATTATATGCAAAATTTTACCATTTCAACATGCAATCATTACAAGACATTTATGATAGGTTACATTCCTTTTTCAGTACGACGTCTCAAACTGCAGTGTGTATTTTACACTGCCAGCACATTTCCATTCACAGGCATCAGAATTCAAGTGTTCACTGTGGCCGGTGCTGCCCTGTTGGACTGTGAAGTTGTAGATAATGAGTAACTGAGCTTTGT